AGTGGACTGTATATCATTTGAGAGGTTTTTAATGATTGACTCTCCGAACTTTATACTAAGTACTTTACAAGTAGGACATAGAGGACTATACTCCTTCGACACAGAAAAGTTGACTAAAGTCTTGTTAAACATTAAGCAAAATAGTTCCAGTTTGATAATTTTTGTATACGTCAATTAAATGAAGACGATGCATGACACTGAAAAATATCTTCTGACTTTTACACTTTCCGCTCACCGATAACTTTAGTGCCACGTAGAGCTAGAAGTGGGGTACTAGTTGCACTAAGGGTGCATATATTGCACACATTAATTAAACAAGCACAGTATTTATAAAAGAATATTGATTGATCACATCGGCAATTAGACAAAATCAATGAACACAGAGAATGTTAATTTTTATGTAAGGCGGAAAGACTAAGAACTTCAGAGTCGATGAGAGACTGCCTAGCGGATGCACGGATATTACAGGGACATGTAAAAATATGAGTATAATAAGTAGAATCACGTTTATAAATAACGGTATAACAAGAGGGAGCATAACAATCTATTTATCAAGACGTTGTTATATCCTGGGTTCGTAAGATTTCCATCTTATCAGTGCATTATGTGCTTTTTTGAACAGCATCATAGCCACTCTCCAAGTGTGTGGAGCATTTTCTTCTTCGTGACTAGAGTACAACAGTATCTCTACTGGTTCTATTCTTTCCTTCCTTTTTCAGTCCACTGGGTTTAATATATGCTCAAAACCGCGAATTTGTGTTTTCTCATTTCCATAGCTAACTGACTGACCCTCCCAGTCTTCCACATTGTCCGAAAATTCCATGTACCTATACGAATTGTTGCTCTAGTTGTTATAAGGGACGTCAACTTCGTGAATTCGGAAGAATTTCGACTTTCACGATGAGGCGTCAAGTTTCCTCTCACAGAATGTCCTTGAACTTTGAGAACAGAGTTGGAATGGGTTAATTCCTTTATTCTGATTAGCGTTTTTTAGGAAGGTTGATTTCTACCCAATAGGGTGACTGACTCTACGCGCAACCCTTCTTGACCCGTTCTTGTGAACAACAGTAACCATAGAAAAGCTACAGGCGGAGTTGAGTAGCCTCTAGTCGCATTAGTTTTATGTGCTTGTGGTGTGTGGTATTTCTATGTCCCAATGTGTGCGACACGCTCAATAGTTGGGGAACATGTTGTAGGAATCAACTGAAAACTAAAAAGATGAGCTAAGTTAATAGATTTGAATTGAGTAATAGTTTGATTTTACCTTCATTGCCGAAGGACTCCTGTAGCAGTAAATAAATGCCCAAAATAAATAGTGCATGATATAGGCACAATAGTTATTATTAGGGATGCATAGCACTGATTATTAGATAATGATCTGGTGCGGATGCGTGTTCACTCAATAAAACTAATGAGGTTAGTTTCTATGTTGTAGACTTACAGAACAATTTGTTTTGGGTATTTTAGTATCTCTACACTGACTGTTCGGAGGAGGAAAAGTGTGCCACCTGAGTCGTGTCAAGATCTGATCATAGCTCCCAACCTAGCAGTATCCACTAGAACTAAGAAGAATGACTTCAGTGATAAGTGTTGACAACGCTAAATATTTTGGATCTACATACAGTTCTGCTGTGTTCGTTCAAAATAATCATGATCAGGCACACTGAATACAGCTACATAAATTAGCTAAAAAAATTCACTCCAGTAATGTGCTTAGTTTAAAAACCAAACGAGTTTTATTCTAATCTTCAGACACTGAACCAAATGCAAGATTTGAACGTGATCTCAATCATATTAAGACATCATTAAGTAAACTACTCCCAGATACAGTTTCAGGAGTTAGTATTTGTAAGCTTTATAGAATAGGAAAAAAGGCGGGTTCCGAAAGTCCTCAGAAAAACCGCCTCCTAAAGGTTACATTCAACACGGTGGAAGAAAGGAACCTGGTTCTAAGTAATTCACGTAAACTGATTGGGTCCGGAATATATGTCCGTGAGGACCTCAGCCTAGCTGATCGTATTAAGAGAAGGGCTGCAGAAGCGGAAATAAACGAGCGTCGCCGAAACGGTGAAAGAAACCTCGTTCTTAAGGGTTTTCAGATTGTAAAAGTTCGGAGCAAAACGATCCCCAAGCTCTCCACAGACTTAAAAGTGTGCTACACAAATGCTCGCAGCCTACTAAATAAAATGGCGGAGCTCAAGTCAGTGGTGGATAAAGAAAAACCGGACGTTATCGCTCTCTCGGAAACTTGGTTAAAGTCAGAAGTATTAGATAGTGAAATCCAATTGACTGGTTTCATAACCAGTAGGGCTGATAGATTAAACCGAAGAGGTGGCGGGGTTATTGTGTACACGAAAAGTACCCTAACCATAAGATTAGCTGAGACAGTAGCACATGTTTCAGGGACATGTGAACTGGTGAGATGTAAGTTGAAATGCCGAAGGCAAGATATTGAAGTAGTTGTAGTTTATCGCAGTCCAGAATGTGTAGCAGATGATTTTCTCCTCAGTAAACTTAAGTCCTGGTGTAACAACGGTAAAAGCCTTGTAGTAGGCGAATTTAATGCACCATATATCAACTGGGTTAACTTAGAAGTAGAGTCATCTATATCGTCGTTCGACTCCAAACTGTTAGAAACCTCGATTGGACTAGCATTATTCCAACACACTAGAGATCCCACAAGATACGACTTAAGAAACTCTTCCTCTCTTTTTGATTTAGTCTTCACACACGGTGATGAGGTTGGTCAAACGGCTTTTCTCCCACCACTTGGGAGAAGTGATCATGCAGTCATCTTATTCAAATTCATGGCTGAAATTGCTTCTCAAACAATTGCGCCGGCCCGTCCTAACATATGGAAGGCAGATATGCAGGCAATTGACTCCGCAGCATCGGCTGAGAACTGGGAAATTGACTCAAAGGCATCAGTACAAGAGGCATGGACTCTATTCAGACAGTTATACAATCGGGTAACTCAACCATATATACCCTGGACTGTCCCAAAGAAAAAGAGGCACGGACATCCCTGGATAGGGCGAGATTTTCGACGTTTGCTGAGACAAAAGAAGAAATGCTGGGATGTTGCCATCCGCCTTGGAACAGCAGGTACGATGGAACGCTACAGATCGATAAGAAACGAGTGTATAACTAAAATTCGGGAAGCGCAAAGAAAATACGAAATGCAGCTGGCAGAATCTGCACTCAAGCAGCCCAAGAGGATATTCTCGTACATAAACTACAGAACAAGGACTCATCACTGGATTCCCAACCTAATTAAAGTAGGAAGTGAATCTGAAATGATAGAGGAAGATCAGGAAAAAGCTGAGATTATGGCTGAATATTTGGGGGCAGTTTTCACTCAGGAACCTCCTCTAGAGAAAGAACCAGACCCAATTACAGAGTCAAAAAACCAGCTGCTCACCGTGGACTTCGACCAAAACGATGTGCTTAAGGCTCTTAGCACTCTAAACATGGAGAAGTCAACAGGACCAGATGAACTACACCCTAAAATCTTGAGACATATAGCCCAATATATCGCAGCCCCACTGACTGTGATATTCAAAATGTCACTTGACCAAGGTGTGTTACCTATGGGCTGGAAGGACGCAATCGTCACTCTCATACATAAAACAGGTCTACGACAAGTTCTATCGAATTACAGACCCGTAAGCCTCACCAGTGTTGTAATTAAAATACTGGAAAGAATAATCAAACGGAGCATAACGTCATTTATGGAAACCAATACCTTGCTGAATATGGCACAACATGGTTTTAGAAAGGGTCTATCCTGTACAACGAACTTCCTTATAGCTAAGGAGCTCTGGATTATTGCGCTAGACAACGGAAACTCAGTGGATGTTGTCTACATAGACTTCAGTAAGGCTTTTGACAAGGTGCCAACTAATAGACTGCTATTGAAGTTGGCAAACCTTGGTATTGCCGGACCTCTTTTAAAATGGATTAAGGATTTCCTAGTAGGTCGTAGGCAAAAAGTAAGAATAAATTCCAAGTGCTCCATCTAAAGACCAGTACTTAGTGGAGTACCCCAAGGTTCCGTCATAGGTCCTTTACTTTTTATAATGTACGTTAATGATCTTACAAGTATAGTACAGTCTCCAATGCTATTTTACGCTGACGATATAAAAATTTGGCGAGTAATAACTGGAGACAAAGATGCATTTACTCTTCAGGCGGACTTAAATAATATGATAAACTGGTCTAAAGAGTGGCTGATGCCTATCAACTCGGAAAAGTGTGTCTACATGCACTTGGGGGATTCAAAGGTTAATACGTACAACATAGGGGATGTGTCATTACCCGTAGTCCGGTCTCATAAGGACCTAGGGGTGACGGTGAGCAATGATCTTAAGAAGACGGCTCGTTGCCGGGGGGTCGCAGTTAAGGGGTTTCGAACCCTCTGGGCTTTAAAAAGGACATTCACTAACTTTGATACTACCATGTTCACCACATTATACACATCCTTAGTGAGAACTAAGTTAGAGAACTGTGTTCAGGCAGCAAGCCCCTGTTTAAAAGGTGACTCAGACATACTAGAAAAGGTAAAGAGGGCAGCTACGCGTGCAATTCCGGAACTCCGGAGTTTATCATATAAAGAGCGGCTTGAAAAACTGAACCTCTTTACTCTGTCCTATCGCAGACTGAGGGGAGATCTAATATTGATGTACAGAATACTGAGAAATGGTTTCGGACATAACATATTCTCTCTCTTTCTTCCCACTAGATCGAGACACCTCAGAGGACATAGCAGGCGAGTAGAAAAGCCAAGAACGAACAAAATACCCGTGGCATACAGGTTTTCACAACGAGTCATCAATACTTGGAACCTGCTGCCTGAAGCAGTGCTGTCCACACCTTCAATTGACTCTTTCAAGAGAAGACTGGACACTCACAGAAGCATACTAGAAAAGGAATAACATAGGCCGTAGGCCTTCTGTCCTTACTACACAAATCTGAATAATTGTTCGAACAGCGTAACCTAGACAACCGCGCGGCGTTTTCGAGGTTGGGCTGTTGTTACAGGTTCAAAAGGTCATGCTTAGACTTCTAGTGGCACTTGCAGAGTCTTCTTAAACAGGACTGTGTTATCGCTGGCTTACTTCAGCGTATTTCATCAATTAGAGTAATTTTGTTTAGCACAATTATCGAACGGTCGCCGATCTTGTTATTCTCTTCAGCTGTCTTGACACAGTAAACAATATAATCTCCCACAAAAATCAATACAATTTCAGGATAAATGAAAAGCACTATCACATGTTGGTCTCATGTTTGTTTCTTATGTGAATGGTGAAAAGTTTTAAAGGAGACAATGATATTGTTGACAGATATTATGAAGACCCAGCACGTGATATTTACCGTCTGAACATCAAAAAGCCCTTAAATCACAGTTTTCTGACGTTTGGAAATTCATCATCTCTTTCCGTTTATTCCAGCAGCGGCAACAACGGGGTTGTCGTTAAGAAAAACGTTTCGTTACGAAAAAACTCTTCCCAGCGGTCGAAGCTTTGTATAATTTTATAGCATGCATAAATTACTTGAAAAACTGAATATATGTGGCTCCTGGTAGGTTTGGCTGTAGAATAAATTTCTTCGTGGTATTTCGTTTTTTTGTGTGTCCAGTATTCAGTTTCCCTAGTATCTATGTAAATACCAGAAGTTTCCTTATTTTTTCAGCGGCGACTCTAATTTATGGAGATCTTTGAACGAATCTTAAGCGAACTTGAGAAATATTAGCCAATCAACAAACAGTCGGTATAGAGTAAAAATATGTTATACAAAACCAGGGAAATAAAGTGGATACACTTATACGTGGTTCAAGAACTTGTCAATGTTAGAAAGAGGTTCTAAGATTGTAATGCATGCAGCAGAGGAAATCATCCATACGGCTACAGAATCGTCGGCCGCTGGAGCCATGATAAAGTCTCAAAATCTCTTTCAGCTTCGACCGCATAGCTTCATTATTGTTTATGTGTACTCTGGTTGTTGGGTGCACAAAATGCTACTTGTGGATAACGACACGATGCACATAACCGAGCCTATGTAGGAGTCTACACTCTCCAAACATCCGTATATATTGTAATGCCTGGCTGCAGCCAATGTTACTGGTGCTTTTATTATGCAGTTCTCAATAATTTTCGTAATTTGCCTTAGTTGGGAATTATATATGGGGTTTTCATCACGAACTGACATCAGCTATAGTTCCAGAAATTTATTTAGCCAAATGGATGAAAGACTCGTGTTAAAATCCGAGATCTCTTATCTTGTACTTAATTATTTCGCCCAAAAATTATAGTCCCGCCGTTTTATTTGTTATAGCCTCTCTATTATCACGTTTTATATAAAATTCCCTGTGAACCGATCGTACGTTAGTATTAATCACTGAAGTTGGCGCCGTAACCTTGAAATCTCTAAAACGCCTCTGATAGGCTCGTTTATAAATTAGTCTCGCCGGAGAAACTTTAGTAAGCCTTGGGGATACCTCACATTGTCGTCATCATTCCAAAATTCACTCCCCCTTTAACCAAAACGTTTATATTAACGGTTCGATTGTTATTAACATAGTATTCCAGTCAGGCTAATCTGGGTTTCCTTTCAACCTTCTGTACCCAAGTCATGTTACTTGTTCACAAACAAAAGTTTACACTACATTAATTTTCTGGTGAATGTATCTACCATAGGTGCAACGTGTCTTACACCTTGGAAGGAAAGTCGCCGCCGGCACGTGTTGGTCATTCAACTCATGCTGTGCGCATAAAATGTGGGAACACGGACAACCGACCATTGGTTATAATGATCGGCGGTGCAGATGCTTCTGGAGTATTTAATGAAGCTTACATTCTGGATATAATATCATTTATGTGGTACACTGTTGATTTGGAACAGACAATTGATTTTCCAGGTTTGGGGAGGTATGAACATAGCAGTGCAATTTTAAACAACCAGGTGCGTTGAATTACTGCAGTTCATGCACATTTCATATTTACTCACAAATCACTTTGGTTATAAAGTAAGTGGTATGTTTACAGAACGATCATTTTATTTGACGTTAGATTGGTAATTTGAGCTTCCTAATTGTATAGCCTATTAAAATGCTGTACACAAATCCAAACAAGTGCATTTGGTTGCAAAAAATGGGTGTATTACTAATCAACTATTAAAATGGTAATATTCCATACTGCCAGTCTGTCCGAACATCTCATTTTCTCATGACCTTAAATGATAGACAAAATCATACTACGCAAACTAAAACCTATAAGTTAAGTAGTTCTAGTAGTCATATTTGTCATTATCACTAAACCAAAAGTTAAATAAATAATATTGAGAAACGTGTAGGTATAAATTTGACAATAAATCCACTAATTTTGTGCCATTTTTGCTTAAAGCCACCTCCCTTTATTTTATAACTAATGGTTTATCCGACTCATCTAGTCATTAACTTGACAGCATCCTACGTCGATGTAGGTAGTAGCCTTACTTAGACACCGCATACCATTCACTACGATTTTATGTTATGCTTAAGTAAACAACTTAAGTCACCATTTATCCTCCTGACGGATGGACTTATTCGAAATTTCGTAGACGCTGTGACTCACTAGCTGATCATAACATTTGTGTTTGGAGTAGGAAAGATAATTGGTTGTCATGACCCAGTCAATGTAGATCAGTAACTGAGAATATGTTCGGGTACTACGGATCATCGTTAAACAACCGATTGTATGGAATTTTTCACTATAACTCATGGAACCTTCTTCGACACTGTGGTATACCTGAGAAAACAGTCAACATCATCCGGATTTCATGGGACGGATTACAGTGCAGAATTGTGCATGGAGGATAGCTGACAAACGCATTCCAAGTGAGGACAGATAATGATGCTTAATCTCCCCCTTCCTTTTTCTCCCTGTGGTTGGCTGGCTTATGAAGACCTCTACACCTGATGGGAAGCACGAAATACAATGGACAGCTCGGATGCAACTAGACGATTTTGACTTCACAGATGACCTATTCCTTCTATTCTATATACTCTAACAAGTGCAGATAAAGACATCCAGTGTAGCATCAGCCTCTGCATCAGTATGTCTCAACATACACAACATAGGAAAAGCAAGCTCCTTGACTGCAACACGGAGAACACCAACCCAATCACACTTGAAGGAAAAACTCTGGAAGAGGTGAAAGCTTTCACATACCTGGAAAGCTTCAACAATGAGCAAGAAGGACCTGATGCAGTGGTTAAGGTAAAGATAGCATTCCTACAGTTGCTTTTAGGTCAAGAAAGACCACCATTGTGGGACGCCGATAAGTATACCTGTGTCCTAGAACCTAACGAATGGTGAATATGTGGTTGATGCAGCCACGACCAGGTCTGAAACCAGCTTGATTCTCTCGTGTTTGCGGTTCACGAGTCTTAGTTACGCGTCCGATAATTATCGAGGCTAGTATTGTAGATACTATATTAGTTAAACTAATCCATCTATGGTTGTCACAGGATGATTTTGACCCTCTCTTATATATTGGGACGATAAGTGATTGTGACCAGTCAGATGGGATAACGTCCAACTCTCAGATTTTAGCTGAAATATCAGTCAACCTAATCACTAAAATTAGATCACCATCGTTAAAGACCTCTGGAGCCAATCCATCTGGACCAGCTGCCTTTCCTCGTTTCAGATTAACTATAGCCTTCTCAACTTCAGCAAGAGTTGGGGGACCTACTTCAATGTTCTATTCACATTGTCTGGGGATGGATGGTAGTTGTAGAGTCGCTGAAGGCCAGTTGAACTGTTCCCTAAAGTGCTCCGCCCGTCGTTCTAAACGTCTGGACTGGGAGTAGATGAGAGTATCTTCTTTTTCCGAAATAATCTCACTTACGCTTGACTTATTAATTCCAGTTTCTTTTATTAGTCTATAAAGCTGTCTTGTGTTCCCTATAGTCGCCGCCTTTTCCATCTCTTTTGCTTTCGTTGCCCACCACTGCTCACGGTCGTTTCTTAGACTTTTGGTTAACCTAGATCTGATTTGTTGTCGCTCTTCATCATGTTCGGAACCTGATGGGACGAGTTTGCGAGAATCCATCAGTGTGATAGACTTTGAAGAAATCCACTGGTTCTTTGTAACTCTGTGGTTTAAGTCACTAATGGATTTCATTGCTGTTTCCACAGCTGTTTGTATATTTTTCCAAGCAACATCTGGGTCGGCCTTGTTTTCAGAACTACCTAAGTGTGACCTCAGTTGTTCCTGGAAACTACTTTTGGTTTTCTCGCTACTCGATTCAGTTCTAATGGGTCTTTTTAGTGTAGCTTTTTGCGTCCAGTGAGGCGCAAGTAGATGCGTGCCCGTACTAGGGCATGGTCGGAGTCAAAGCAGGTACTCCAGAATGAGCGACAATCTTCTACCGACCCTCTCCAACGATGACTGATGGCAATATGGTCTATTTGAGTCCACCGTTGATTTGGTGTAGGGGGTTGCCATGTTAGACGATATCTCTCCTTATGCTTAAAATTTGTGTTTGCTAAAAATAAACGATTGTCTGAGCACAGTTGCAGCAGACGATCACCATTATCTGTTCGCTGTGTCGGAATACTAAAATATCTACCTAAATACCTTTCTGTTTGGTCTAAACTACCTATCTTAGCATTAAAGTCGCCCCCTACGAGTACTATGTCTGAGCGTTTAGCTTTCTGCAGAAGTTCGGACAGCTTTCTGTAAAATTCATCTTTCACTTCATCCGAGCTACAGTCAGTGGGAGCGTAGGTGGAAACGAAAAAAGGGCAACGACGTGTGTCCCTATCCTTCCGAGTTCTTACGGATCCGTTTTGCCGAACAGCACATAAACGACTGTTAACGGGGATCCACTCTAACAGTGCTTGTTCCGCCCTCATGTTTAGTGCTATGCCTACACCTGCCAGTCCACGAGAACTGGCCATCGGGTCACCAGCTACACGGAGGGTGTATCTCGTCGGCTCTCCGTTTTGCTGAAATGAGGTCAAGTGAATGACCACACTAGGATCCTGTTTGCGTATTTTGGAGACACAGCATACATCAATTGTACGGGGATTCTAGGGTTTTAGCCAAGGAGACCTGTTGGTCAATTTCACATAGGGTGAGTACGTTGGAGGCTCCAATGTGTAGTTTGCAACGAGGTTTCAGTAGAACTGAGACAGAGTTTTGTGCACTGGGATCGTTGGCTATGGTGACAGTTGAGGGGGAAGCCGAAAACGGAAGTTTAGAGGTAAAAGTCGATGTAGGAGGAATAATAGGAATTGAAGAGGGAGGTTGATTATGAATACAGTGGTCTTCAGTGCTGTTAGAGGTATGAGGGCAGTTATCGCTTCCCAGTTGCCCACATAGTGGAAGGGTCCTTCTGAAGGTACCTGAGAAGGAAATCGGATTATAGGTGGTCTCAGTGATAAGGCTAGACGTGCATTTTTAGGGTCGACATTTTCTAACCCAACCCTCCTTGTAGGAAGGTAGCATGGCTGTTTTGCTGGTTGTCTGAAGGAAACATCTTACTGTTGTCACACCTCAGTATAGTCAGCAGTACGACTTCGCCTTCGGACCTCGAGTTTGTTGCTTTTAGTCTTACTGCTCTTCAACCGACCTGTCTGACATGGTAGGACCTTGAGGAACGGTTGTTCCAGCCAGTATAGCTCGGTTGCTTCATCACGATAGGCAAGGTACCAACAACAACATGTTAACCACTGCGCTACCGTTCTATAATGCACATGGTTTTTACTTTACACTTTGATTTTTAATAAATCAGACAATGAGGTATTACTGTTATTTCATGAAGGTATGTGACTGAACTCGAAAGTCACATGAACAAAGAATAATTATAAAAACACTTGATAGTTATCTAAAATAGTCGAATAGTTGATATGAAACGTGCCTACTTAATTCGAACGAAGGTTTAACAACTACAATTGTCAGTAGGTTACAATGAACATAGAACATGGCGAAACGAAATTATGATGAATAGCAGGGAAATCGAAATAATGTTGTGGCAACTATAATCCGAAAATTGGTTTGAGAAAAAGAGTCGAAGTATGTATGAAGGGATTGTGGAGTGATAAGCTAAAGAAAAATAATCAGCGATTTCGTCGACACCATTGTGACTGACTCTGAGATGTATTACCCAACACATCTAACCACTGACTGGAGTTATATATTTTTCTAAATTATCGATTTTGTCTTCCCATTTGAATTTAAATCCTAGACAGTATTCCTGTAACCAGTCTAGATAATCATTCAGAAGAAACGATGTGATAAGTGGAGATGTATATAAAAAGTCGTGAATTTGTCTAGGCTCAAAAATTGTAAACAAATAAAAAAGGAAGTATGAGTTTAAAGCTTTACGTTTGGTGACCTAGATCTCGTGGCGCACATTAACCGTAAGACCCAAACCAATTATATACCATTTAAACGATTCAAAAGATAGAATGCTCAGTTCAGAAATTATGTCTACAGTAACGTTGCATTAACCGGTACAAAAGTTTATGGTGAATGTCAATGAGTGTGATAAAATGTAAATATTCAATCATATATATATATATATATATATATATATATATATATATATATATATATATATATATAGTTTTGGTTCGGTAGAAAATGTTACTTATTGTTCATGTATCTGAATGAATGTTTTCTAGGAATTATTAATATTTGGTGGTGCAACGAAAACAGGTCCTTTGAGTCAACTACTCCGTCTACAAATTCATTGTCTATCAACGCCAGAAAATCCATCAATTTATGAAAAGGACAAAATCACTGCAAGCTTAACTCAAGATCGCATTCATACTGATATTAAACAATTCATCTATCATCCTCGCACACAACACTCTTCTGTTTCACTAACTGAATATAATCAACTCATAGTATTCTCTGGTGGGAATGTTGGTAGTCAGCCAGTGTCAGATGATAAAGTAACTACCCATTGATTGAATCTACTTATTTGATTTCCTTTGACCACATTTAATGCATACTATATAGGGAAAAGTACATACATGAAAGAAAAATCTTTGTTTTTATAATCGTTTTGTTGAGAGGTAGGATATGTGTCTTGCTCTTAAGCTGATGGTTCCAGAGTCTCTAATAAAAATTTTAAACTGATGGCTAAACATTATTTCATAGATTTTACTTCTTGAAAATATACGCATTATGATATTTTTCATAATGCCTGTTTTGGAACTAACTCCCCAAATAAGTAAATATGTGTAGCCATATATTCGTTGCTGTTTGTTACTAGTTTATTAAACATCTTTATGTAACTGGTTTATAAACGGTGTGAAAAACGCCTAAACAGTCGTATTATTTGAATATTGACCAGTAAGTAAACAAAATAATTTCGTAAGGGAATAAACTGAATTTATTTAACACATAGTATAGAGAAAATTGCAATATGTTTTAGTTGAATATTATAATACATATCTCTAAGAAATAATATTGCAAAAGAAGGCTAATTCTATGTTTAGTCATATGGGATTTGGATGAATAGCATATCCAGTTATGCTAATAATATATTGAATCGTATTTCCATATAGTCTTAGCTATTCACTAGACCCAGTTATTGATGTATGTCTCTAGTGAACTGATATCAGAAGACAATAACCACCATCCAGATAAATAGTTTCTTAGAATAAAATAGTTCGTTTATGTGCACAATATTAGCGCAGAAATAAACATGATTAGATTCCATACACGGTCAGCGGGCATCAGTTTTGTAGGTCACTTGTCAAGGGACTAGGATCTGACTATTATATATAAAGTAAACACAAATAGGGTAAACCACACAGTAACAAGAAATATTTATATATATTTTATAACTCTCCGAATTCTTGTCTTCTTATTGTTATGCCCTTAATTATACGATTATCGCTAAATAATGACTCATACACCAGTACGAGCAACCTAGAGTACTGGTTGGTTCTTTTCCCATCAAGTCCTGTCTGTTAAATCCAGAACACCAATATCAGCCTCCACGATATGACTCATTTATTTCAAACATACTTGGTTTATATATAAACCAAACAGAACACATCACACCGTAAAGAAAAAAAATTTGTACAAAATCATGCCAAAATTGGCTGTGATTGTGGGGGACCGTAATTAATGAACTGAGCATAAATTAAGAATGGTAAATCATATAATAATAGTTCATAGGTTATAATAAAGCTTATAATAAAACGAATATATATATAATATTAGTTTATAAATAAATCCCAATATTTACCATTCATTATTGCCATCGGGATATAACACTTATATTCGTTTTCTTAACTTATCTTAAAATCTTAGCAATAATTTCAAATGACTCCCTTGTTCATAAAACATTGTTTGTATGAATGCCCAACTAGGTGAACTTATACAATGCAGCTTATAAATAATGGATTAAAGAGAAATTGACTTTTCACTAATGCATTTTCATATAATTATAACTATGAATCACTTTTTTAAAAGATTATGTAAACATATTTCTGAAACTTATTGCTTATTTAGTGTACTTTTGATTGTAGATCATTTTTTTTGATAATTAGTATTGGATTTACCAGTTTAATTTTTTTTAAAGACATTTCTGTTCATAAGTTTATTCCAGAATATCAAAGAACCTAAATAATTTAATGTATTCTATATTAGGATATATATAGAAAGTACAACTTAAATCAGTCCACAGTTAAGATTACCAAATAACTACACTGAAAAGGCAGTAGAATGAAGAAAATTTGTTTGCCAATATCATTTATTTAAGCTGTGCAATCATGTTTATGACTAATTTACAATTAAAATGGTCTTCTGAAAAATTGGAGAACGATTACATCATATCACGTATCATATAGTGTCGCTTAACGATAGAGAATTTGACGAAGGATAGTAAGGTGAAGGATAAATCAAAAATGTGAAGGTGGTAATAATGAATTATTAAGATTAAAGAGTTTAGAAACAATAGAAGGATATAATAAAATCAAATTGCCATGTGTGAAAAGTGTGTGTTAGGGCCATAGAAAAATGATGGTTTGCATGTGTCTGTTTTTACATGCATAATTCAAGTTTGGAAAGGTGGATTACTAACACCTTTCAGTCAGTCAGTCATGCTGGTTGTCTGAAGGAAACACCTTACTGCTGTCACACCTCTGTACAGTCAGCAGTACGACTTCGCCTTCGGACCTTGGGTTTGTTGCTTTTAGTCTTACCGCTCTTCAACCGACCTGTCTGACATGGTAGGACCTTGAGGAACGGTTGTTCCAGCCAGTATAGCTCGGTTGCTTCATCACGATAGGCAAGCCCGACCACCACGTCAAGGTAGCAACAACGCTCGGGACTAACACCTTTGCATTGCACACATTATTGATTAGTACTCCCCTCAAACCAAATTATTTGATCTTATAAATGGTCTTGAAGGATATATCCAGTGGCGTCATGCGACCATAGTTCACATGATATTCCAGTATTGAGCTATTGATAATTTTAAAATCGACTTCGAGAACCAGAAAGGATAATGTTCAGAGATGCGTTTGAAAATCACTCGCATTACGTAGCCAATTTAACGTGTTTCATACAGCAAGATGAATGTACATACTATATTTAATTAAATTTTTGAAATCAAAGTTTTCTCTACAAATAAGTGTATATTTATTTTAAATTACTTATTTCTCTTTAGGTTTATATGTATGATAGTGAAATAAATTCATGGAACATTATACCAGTGGAAGGTTTACCACCTTGTTCACGATTAGGTCATTTAATACTATATGAATTTCCTTATGAATTAGCAAATTCAAATTATGAACGTATCCCAAAAGGTAAAATTTATATACACGGTGGAATGGTCAATGAAATACTACTTGATGATATTTATGTATTGAATTTTACTAATCAAGTGAGAGAAATTTATTAGAATATTATACAAGAAAATACTTTCTGTATATGTTAATTGTTTAATAAAGCATAGACAATATTACATTTTAATAGTTTCAAAATACTCTTATCTGTAAGTTTTTAGTGTTCTTCATATATTAGATAATAATAGGTCAATGGTTATGATTATATTATGTTGGCTTTTATATATCAAAATGATGTTTAATCAAGATGATATGATGATTCATAGATGTAAATAATTATGAACTCTTTGTCTTTAATTTGTTGAAAGAATGTTTAAACTGACAACATGTTAATTGAAATGGAGTTCCAAGTTATTGATTTTCAGTTGCTGATGTAGATTATTCTAAGTTCTTCCTAATCTAAAATCTTTCAGAAGAATTTTCTTCGCCACTTTTTTCTTTTGGAATAGTGGCAATAAATATTTCGGAAATAAGCTTAAACGATGACCATAGAAACTCAAGATTTTGGCGAGTTAATATTGCATATTAGTAGTAACATATTGTCAAGCTCACTTTTTTGCTATTCCAAGTTGAAATTTCTGAAAACTAATCCAAGGTGTAGTTCAGTTCAGCTGTTTATTTCCTTAGGCTTCATCCTTTATCAGCTCTGTGATGTAACAGATAAGGCTTAGACTTCTAATTTTTGTACGAAAACACGTATGGGGATTACTTAGCTCTCAAAAATGAACATCCAGCATTTGCTTACACTGTATCACTGAAGCGCATCTGTCGTTAGTAATTTTACGCATTCATTATAATAATTCATAATTCGTTCTTCAAATCACAAAGTCCTCTCCCATGACAGTTTCTCAAAAATGTAGTCACTTGTTTTAATATTGTCACCTAAAATTATTTCACTGATACCCAATTATAAATAAGCGTTTATTTTCATTATTTTCAGTCTGATAATAATTTACACTTCAAAGGTATATGGAACAAACTATATCCGACTGATAAATTATCACCACTCACTATTAATCATGATAATGCGGAAAGTGAGCGTGAATATTTGGACCCAAAATGTATTGAACTTACACAGATTCCATCTCCAAGTCCACGTGCTGCTCATGGCGGAACAATTTTAACAAATAAAATTTATGAACAGGATACCAGTAAAATATTAATATTTGGTGGATTGTCATTAAATGGAGCGTTGAATGATATGTTCTGTTTTGATACAAGTTAGTGAAAATGTTAGTGACCATAATAATACTTAGAACTCAATCGCATAAACCGTGTATAGAATAAGCTTATTGAAAATTTAAATACAAATTCAATGAATTTTTTGGATGGGTCTCTTTTGTTCTAATTAATACTTCCAAGAGGAATGAATTAATCACATTTCGTGAATCTTGTCATCTATCACGGGTTACTGGCAAGCAAACTTTCAGAACGGATTCTAAAAGCTGGCGACGTTGCTCCACCTACGGCACAGGAGAGAGTAAACTTTGTAGCAAACCCTTTTTGTATTTTTGTAAGCCTATAAAATGAAAATATACGACATGTGTAGATGACAGTTTTTGATCACAACTGTCTTTAGTCAAATATCTCATTGTACTAATGTGGAATGTATCAACTCATACATATTTGTATCAGATTCTACTTTGACTATGAGTGTCTTACTGCACCGAGTGATGTATTTCTAAATGTTACATGTTCTGGTTTCGAGCGCTTAGTTTCGTAGGCAAGTTATCGCCTCAACTAAATCAGTTATTTCCACATTTTATCAAACTAGTTGTCTTCATTTACATTGAAATAATTTCCTTTTTTCTTAACGTCCAACCCTTTTTTTCAATTAGGTACTAGACAATGGACTGAAATTAAATATGAGACTTCTGTATTACCGAGTCCACGTTTAGACTTTGCTTATTGTACATTCTCATTAATCGTTAAGAAGGATACAAAAGAAAACTCACCGATGAAAATTATATTTAAATCACCAAAAGGTATTTATACTTTCTATGATATATATATACCTGAGATCCGTGTATATTTCCTGACAGTGGTAGAATGAATTTCAGTCTATAGGTCCGATCAAGTTAATACAATTACATGATTTCTAAGTAGTTACCAATATCTACCTATACAATTTCACTAAAATAAGACTTGTGGTGATTAAATTTTGTCGTTAGGCTACTTGACAAATGCATATTTGTGTGTTTGACTGCTAGCCATACTGAATGTGGGGTAGAGCAAGTGATACCGTCCCGTCTACTCAAACAGGAGTACGAAGCTCATGTCTAGTGGTTGTAAGTTGAATGTATAAGTCATTATGTTTAACTTGACTTTAGCAGGCTAAAGTATTTAGATTTTGTGGTTGTTAGTATTGTGTAATTAAATTAATGGTTGTCTATGTTATACTGTAATGATTGGTTCTCAATTTGGTTGTTATCTAGTTGTAGAAATTGAATCACTGTGAATAGGTTCCTGAATTTTTAAAGTGTTTTACTTAAATAGATCATCTAAAAGTACTCAGTTTCTTATTATTTAGTCTTTTGTGTTGATCAAATTCTGTTGGTTAAGTGACTCAACATCGTTGTGTACACTGTTTCGGAAAAAATTTAGTAGAAAGCACTAAACGCCCTTAAATAGCGTCAAGTATTTTTTGTTTTTGTAAAGTCATATATAAAGCCCTGAAAATATTTTGGAATATAGATAGAACGGAATATTTAACCCCATTAACTCTTATATACAAGTTACTTGTTGCATAGTTTGGTAAATGAACGTAAATATGTTGTGATTTGTACTGTTATGCTTTTGAATGTAAATGCACATGAACAGTCCTACTGATGATTATTGACTGGTTTAACAGCTAAATTAACTTTCAACCAACATTCCCTACTTTTTAATCTCGATGCAACAATCCTGCTTCTAATGGATACAGTTAGTTAACTTAATTCTACTTCGAATGTTCATATTTTAAGTAAAAAGGGGATACAATAGACTGATTTCATTTGTCACCTATCCATTAAACTATGTCTAATACTGGGCGATTTTCAACTTACCGTATAAATCATCTTTATATTTGACAACCTTTGTGTTTTGAAATATTTTTCCTGGTAACAGGAATTCGATTTCTTAAATTGTTGTATTTTATTACTGTTATTTTCTTCAGATAATCAATATCACGATGATATCGTTAATACTGATGAGCATGAAGATAACAATGATAAAGATCAATACTGTCAAGAGTATTTATTTATTCACGGCGGTATGGATACTCATGGTTCTGTGTTTGATGATTCTTATCTTATTCTACTAAGTGAATATCAACTTTCTAATCCACTAAATGCTCAAACAATTATCCACCGAAGTTCTTCACATGGAAAATGTTAATACTTGTTTGCAGTAAATAAAATATTAATCTGCAATACATTATAATCCCCTCAATGCATGAAATTCCAAACGTCTATATGTATTCCTACACAACTTCAGAATAATTAAAATTTCATAAATAGCTTTTTTTTAAACTTTAGACAATTGGATGTTTCTGTTGACTAGGTATTTAGGACATAATTCTAACTGGACATTCTGTTCTAAATATGGAACTCATTTTCTACCGTTCATCTTTTTTATTTAAATAAAATTATTGATTATTCTACTCTTATCTATTGTTCTCCTGTTGTTCATAGTTCTTAATTTTATTCTGTTTTATAAGATTGTATATAGGGTTTATTTGATCATGGATTTCCTATTGAATTTGAAATATGCGCAATCATTAGTAATAAAAAAACACTAGCTGCTATCTTTGCTTGGGACGGAATGTTCGCTTATTTCCACCATCAATATTTAGGTAATTAACTACAGTGTCTTCGAGGTAAATATCTTAAAAGTGTCATAAAATTAATCAGGAATAAGTACCGATGTATAAAATTAATTCCTGATTAAAATAATGAGAAAGCACGGTACAAACATATGAGGTAGTCGAATAAATTTACGCTGTTACGACTGAATTTGTGCCATTCAACCGTAATATCTAACATATACTCCCAGGAGCTTACTTATGCCTGAAAAGCTCAAACCAAGTATGAGTGATTAAATGGATATTATCCCAAGAATTGTTTACTACTAAATGGTTGTAAATCAAGTTCACCGAGAGTTAATATATTTATACTACTTACTATGGATAAGTAGCATAATTTAAAACGGTAATTTCTACGGAAAGCTGAGTAATCAAGTTAAATTGTTTTCTAAATAAAACACAAGCTGTGTTTCTATTGATTTTAGCCGCCGGAAACTTGAATAGGCTACAAATTCACCGTAGAACAGACGAAAATTAGTATTTGTAATTGTATACAACAGGTCTCATGAGGATTAATATTTGATTTCATTATAAGATTGGAATATTTATTGTTAGTGAAAGAAGAATTAAATTATAAAATCTGAAGAATATCGTTATAGATGTATGATCATCTCCACCAGAGTGAATTTGTTTCACAAAATGATAATAGACCAGGGAGAGGAATAAAATCTTCCAGTCAGTAATGGTCACTTTTATAAATGTTTGTATTCTGATATATGTTATAACGCGGAAATAGAAATATAAGCTAATGAAAAGAAGTCAGTGGAAATAAGGTATGTTAAAAACCTTTTTATGAATAAACTTCCAGTGTTTTATTTAAGGAATAATGAAGCCCTCTGAATTGAGATGAAATGAAGAAAGTAAACACTTAGCTGACTTTTTATTTGGCTTATTTTAAGAACTGTGATTCTGTGAATTCAGCCATATTTTTTCAATGGAATAATTAATTTTGGTTGGTCGTTATTTACAAATACCTTTACGAATAACTTCTGAATCTAATTCAGTTATTCAAACGTGTTATATTATCAATAAAGCTTCAGGGTCACGGTCTTGATCTCATATACGTGGGCGCTTCTGAGGAGCTTCATATAGGGATGAAATAGTCGACCAAAGATTCTCATTAAAAATAGTTTATCAGAGGATTTCAACTCGTGATGGGGATTATTTTTAATTTTATAAAAATATGTTAAATTATAATACATATGGGCATTTATTTATACATAGAACTATTATGAAGAATATTAAATTGCACACAAAGCAGACTTTGCGTCAATTACGTTTATGGCCAGCTGAATAATAGTTCATTTATTTGATCACAACTGAATCATTAGGAAATGCTTTAATGAACTCAACAATTTGGAAAGACAAAAACAATCCATATACGAGTTTTGTACATAATTGAGTATATATGAGTTTGATGTCATTTTCATGTTTACAAACCATTGTTTTTACCTGTTTGTATACAAAAGGTAAAAACTACCATGAATTCAAAATAACAATTGTTAGTTCCGTGCAGTTAATTGTTTACTTGGCTTTGTTAAAACTAACATTGAAAAGGATTAGTTTATACTGACACTATCACCAGTTTGTACTAAATGGGCCAATATCTAGCTGTTCACTTTCTTCACCAAACCTTTGTTTAGCCACACTGGGAAGTGTTCAAGATCACGAAAATATAAATTCTTAGAACTTCGACCAATATAACATGCTCCACAAGAGCAGTCGAACTGAAAAATACAAAATGGAGTGATCACTCTATGTAATTCATCTTTTAGCCTGGGTGTCACCACTGGGCGCGTAGAAAACACTAATCGTAGTTCTCCGTGTTGAAAGATTTTTATATTGTCCTGCGTAATCTCTGAGTTAATATTTCACTAGCCGCATCCACTCTGAATTCTAGGTTCATGAATAGAGATCTCTTCATCACCGTTTGTATTTCGCCTATTTTCAAATTCGTGATCATATATTCAGTCATAAACTTTCTAGAGTAACCGTTCTCCCTAAGAGTATTAGCTCATCTTCAACTATATCCGCAGAACATTTAGCGCGTGTTCGCTAACAGTTTTGACCGGGTTTCGTTTGTACTAACATTGTTTACGATATTATAGGTTTTCATTTCCTATTTGGTTACTCTAATTTGATAACGGCTGTAGTTTGTTAATATTCTATTATCCGAATGACTTGAAGTGAAATAGTGCAAAATCCCCGTAGTTACTATAATTCACATCCACTACTGTCATCATTTTCTGCGCTCGATTTCATACTATTGACAAGTAGTATATACCTGATAGTGCAAAACGTTTCTCATTGTTACAGGTGGGAGAAAATTAACGAGGAATAGTAGAGGTGATGTACTGACATTTGATAAATCTTTCAGACAAAGGTTTTCTTTCTAGATAAGCACTAACATTTACCGCTAGATTTGAAAAAATAAGTAACTGAAAACGTCATTATTTGAAAATGAACCAATATTGTATTAGTCATATGTTACATCTTGATATATTGCATCGAAAGTGATTCATGTTCGAATATTATTTTGTGATTCAGCGACACCGTGACTCAGTATATCATATACATCTGTAATTAAAACATCCTCTTAAACACTTAAGCGAAATAAATCTATTAACTATTTGCAATGTTAAAATATATAAACATAAGTTTAAGATTGTTGACAATGTTTATGAATGCAGAATCACTAATATAGAACTTTACAATAGTAATATCAAGAAACGTAATTTACTTCTTTGAATATGCCATTGTATTCATTGTGCGGAGCAAACAAAAGTCTTATTTAAAATTCGGAAGTGGATGAAGTTTCTAATTTTAGGCTGGGGAGCTATTATAATCACTAATCACAAGACATTTGTTCTCTGACTCAGTTACGTATACTCTCTATGCCCTGCATACGGTAGTGTTTGAATGTGGTCGATTCCATACCACGTAGATCGGTTGATATGCAGTGCTGAAACTAGAATGAAATAGACATTCGAGGTTTAATAAAATTAAGCACGATTATGAGCTTACTTGTGATCAAATTTAAAAGTTAATTCTCGAGATTATAGTTAGAATATATGACCAATATAGCTTAACTATGTCAACAGTGAAATAAATATCACTGATGCAATTGGGTGATGGTCATAAATTTGTGCAAATTGACTGGAGTTAGAAATACAAACAATTGAATGCTAACTCAGTGATAAGAAGACTAAACTCCCATTAAGAGGCTTCAAGATCTTGATTTAGAACCCTAGATCGGTATGAATGGCGAATGCCGAGGAGCCCGATGCTATGATGAAAGAGTTGTCAAATACTTAGTTGGATTAAGCTCAATGAGCTATCAACACCGAAAATATTTATTCAATAATTTGCTGAAACGGTCCTTACTGATAAGGAACATACGGTAATAGGTTAGATTATCAGGATTTTAAATAAACCTACTTCTATAAGGATGTTTGAGTTGTTGCTGCTGACCTATGGACAGAATTAATTATGTAGCTAATTCTACTGAGATTTCAACAATAAATTTATCCACTCAAATATTAGTTAAAAATCGCCTGTTTTCCTTTTCCTCATTTTCCTTTCTTCTGTATTAATTAGCAGATATTGACAAATGTCACGAGTGACACTAGATGATGATTCCACAGTATTGCAAACTGAATAAAGTTAGACATAAACCATTGGATCCTGACTTAAAGGTCTTAAGGTTAGACGCGAGACCTGAAGGTTTCGATTTCGATCCCTAATGGAGTCGTCGATGCATACCACTTAAGAGTTCCATATTAAACGAAAACATTTTCCATTACTTCTTGATTTTCAATGGTTTTCTAGCTAAGATCAGTCCTTGATAAAAACTAAGAAATTTGACCATCGCCACAACACTCCACAGAAAAGGACAAGAGTTTTCTTGTTCATTTTATTTAATTACTATGTTTTAAGTATTTCGTTTTGTATGATGTTTAAACCACCAGATTCGTCCAACTATAAAAACCTTGTTATGTCTATGCTTGCTTGTATGTATTGAGACCAATGCAAGTAATCGGGAATATATTTTTTTCTGGGCCAGCTAGTGTTAATAGTTATTACGTCTGACTTCGTAAATTAATATGCTTGTTTTCTTTAGTGAGTCTTTTCTTTTTCTCATCACCCAAGTAGTAAGCAACATGGTTACTCATAGTTACCATTTGATGTGAATTGCTCTACGTAACATTTTGATTAAAACTGAGGATATTGATCGTTGGATTGTGGCTCAGTGGAAGGACGGTATAATTGTCACTATGAGACATACTAGTGGGTATGATCTCGTCTGACATCTCTGATACTAACCATTTAATGTTCTCGATCAAGAACGATAGAGCTGATCACTATTCTATTACTTAAAATAGATTATTATTATTATTATTATTATTAGCTTTATTCAATATTATAATTTTGGTACAATATAGAATTCTCAGCGCAAAGTATTTCAACAAGTTTCCGTTTCTTCTTGGTCGGTCCTGGCGATAAATATTGAGGAATCGCCAGTTAGATGTTAGCACTTCAGTGAATGAAAAACTGAATAATGTACATTCTTTTCTTTGTACATTGCCAGCAACCATATTGTCTCTTATTGAGTTTTCTGTAACTTTGACAACGAAAGGTTGTACACTTTTCAGAAACGCAGCAGAATAGGTTATGCGATTAATAAACATAATGATATATTAAAACAAACAACAATAGATAACTTGTTGAAATATTTAGGTGGAAGGAACAGGTAGCCCAGATGCTCAAGCAGGCCGCTCTGTATACTGTAGTTATTTGT